ACCTTCATAGTCTGAGGTAGCAATTTATAACCAACAGGCAATAGCATTGCTTTTATTTATGGATGGCACTCAGCAACAACTTCCGCTGATCTTTCACCATGTATTCAAACTGGATAATGAAGCACTTCCAATGACATTCATGTAATCTACTGCCGATAGGGGATGACATGAGGCATGGAAGAATAATGAAATATTATTTTAAAAAACTCAAGACATATTAGTCTGCTTTCTGTTACTATCACAAAATACTGGTAGCTGAGTTATATATAATTAAATGAGGTACTGGGCAAGCTGATCTTGGTTGTCAACCTAAATGGATTAAGAGACTCCTGGAGAGGTGACTGGACTGGGAGATGGGTTAATACACTAATGAGTTCATAGTTGAATGAGCTATCAGGCCGTGGGACCTAGTTGGAGAAAGTGGATTTTGGGGTGTGACATTGGGGAATATATCTCTGCCTTGATCCTGTCCCTCCCAGGTTCTTCCCCTGCTCCCCACTTCCTGGATGCCATTAAATAAGCAGCCTTCCTCTACCATTCCCTTCTATCATGATGTCTCTGTGGCTCAGCCACCTTGCCATGGCCTGAAACCTCTGAAGCTGTGAGAAAAAAAAAAAAAAAATCAAAATTTCCCTGAACAAAAATTCCTCTCTTAAATTGTGATGCCAGGTATTTCATCCTAGTGATGAAAAAAATCTGACTAATATAGATATATTTAGCTCATAGTTTTGGAGGCTGAAAGTTCAAAAGCAAATGACTCCACTGGTTTAGACTCTGGTGACGGTCTCATGGCAGAGGGCATCATGGAAGAGTATGTGTGGGAGGAAGAAATCAAATGCAAAAGTCAGGAAGTCAGAATGAGTACAGGGCCTACAATCCTTTCTCAAAGAAACCAAGAAGCTGTCCAAGAAAACATACTAAAGCCTTGAGAGGGTGGTACCACCAATGGACCTAAGTATCATCATATAGCTCCATATCCTGAAGGATCCATCACAACATGACCATCACAATGGGGACCAAGTTTCCAGTGCATTAATCTTTGGGGCACTCACTCAAACTATGTCTAAACAACAGTACATCTTATACGTTAATTCAGTCAACAAAAACTTACCAGGGCTTACTGAGTGCCTGGCACTGGGGATATTACCATGATTAAAACAAAACCCCCTGATCCCATGAAATTTAGTTTCTGGTAGCAGGAGACACAATAATAGGTCATACTTAGGTAAAATAGTAATTATGGTGCCAAGTGACATTGAGAAAAAAACAGAGGATAGGGACAGTGTCTTAGTTTAGGCTACTAGAGCAGGCGTAATCATACACTGGTTTAAACAACAAACATTTACTTCTCACAGAATGTGGTGAGGGCCCTCTTTCTAGTTTGAGCACATAGTAAAAGACCAAAACAGAACTTAGCTCTTCATTCAGCTATAAGAACAATAACCACCATGGCAGCTCCTTTCCCTCACCTGAATCTAATTACTTCCCAAAGCCCTACCTCCAAATACCTTCACACTGGGGATCAAGGCTGCCACATATGAATGGGGGTTGTGTGCGTTGAATCTATAGCAAATAGAGATGCTATTGGAGGGGACTACAATTTTAAGTAAGGGTGTCAGGGAAATTATGGTACTTTTGGGTTAAGATCTCAAGGAAGGGAGAAGATGATTTATGTAGCTTCATGTCTAAGGAAGGACATTCTATGCAGGGAGGGTAGACCTTGAAAGAAGAGAACAGTAGTGGGTCAAGGAAAGTGCTTTTACGGCTATTCCTGGAGCTGAGAAAGAGAACCAGATATGTAAAAGATAACAGGAAGGAAGATTATGTAATGTCTGTTAGGTTACTGTGAAGGGCTTTGGTTTTGGATACTCCAAATAAGACAAAAGGTACTGGGGCGGAAGGTGATGAGCAACGGTAACACGAGCTGGTTTGTGAGTTTTGTTATTTGGTGCTGGATTTGATGAGAGCAAAGGGAGGAGGTCAGAGCCTTCCCTAAAATCCAGATGATGATTGGCCTGAACCAGAATGGTGGCTCTGGAGATGACAAAGAATCAGATCCTGGATATTTGGAATTTGCTGGCGGACACATAATGGGGTGTAAGAGAAAAGAAGGCAATGAGAGTGACTCTGAGGTTTGTGACCTGAGCTAATGGAAAAATGGAGATGTCATTAACTGGGATAGGGTTTCTGAGAAAGATCAGGAGCTCAGCTTTAGACATTCTAATAAATAGAATGCAGGTGAAGGTATTGAGGCAGCACAGAATAAGAGAAGGCTGGCATTCAGGGAAGAGGTGTGAATGGAGGGGCTGACAGCACACAGATGCCATCTGCAGCCATGCATTAAGGAAATGATACAGAGAATGAATAAAAGTAGAACAGAAAAGAGGTCCCAGGAATATTACAGCATTAGAGGTTAGAGACATGATGGAGACTAGAAGATGCTTATGAGAAAAGGCCGCTAATGGAGTCCTTTATTTCTAACCGCTAAGACAGAAAGTGAGCCCTGTGGTGCTCCACAAGAGCTATCTGGTGGGTGTGGTGTTCAGAGAATGTTTTAAGGGACAATGGCAAGGGACGACACGGAGGCAGGAAGTCCGGACACTTCACTTGATGGGTACCTTGCTTGAGTCATGCAAAGGGGAAAAAAATGAGGTTGGTAGTTTTTGTTTTTTAAAAGATGAGAAAATAATAGCATATCTTATGCTGAAGAGGAGGATTTAGCTGGGGGAAAAATGTAGCCCCAGGAGACAGAAAAACTGCTGGAGGCATATCTCTCCGCAAGTGTGTACAGTGGAGTTTGTCTTTGCTCCAAGCATCGAGTTTTCATTTAAATAAGGAGAGAAAAAGAGGCAAGGGAAGTTAGATAGGGCACAGGTCCTAAATAAGTTAAGAGTCAGGGCCTAAGTAAATTAGCATACCAAAACTGATAACTAATAAAATGAGAGACAAAGAATACACCCTTAACCAAAAGGGAGAGACTTTGGGGGAAGTGAAATGGAAATGAAGCAGCTGGCTTTCCAGACATCAAAGGCCTATCTGCAACCAGACACATCCCTGCTTTCTGTCATGTAGGTACCAAAAACACAAAGCTAGCTAAACATCTAGTGCCAGCCTTCCAGAACACGCTATCTGACTAGCAGGGGGCCTCTTTATTCTTCCTAATAAACGTGCATTTGGCCACTCCCCACTGCTTGCTGTTTGGTAAACTTCAATCTTCCTTGCCCCAAAACAAGGACCTAAGAGCTACATGAATTTGGTTATGGCAGAGCATGTGAACTTGGTTTCAGAAAATGACATGGAGGCGGGAACTTGTATAAAGTCTTCTGATTATTTTTATTCCATCAACTGAGAAAGGAAATGAGGGAGCAGGTGTTGAGTCATCTAAAACACTGGAAGAATAAATAAAAGACAGAAAACTACAATACCATTATGATAGGAAGGGGTATACACAAATTACTTTCGTCTAGTTGCAAGCAAATCTCTGTTATCTTTAGTTTTGGAAGTCAAAATCCAGCTGGAGCTAAGTATGATGAGTAGGTACATGATTTAAACTGAGGGATCTTATTTTGGCTCAGACCAGGGAAGCCCTTAAGATAACTCTGCATGGATCCAATAAAAAGATCAAAGAGGAAGCCTCCCTCTCACCATATGCTTTATTGTAGTACAGATCAAAGACAATTGCTGCCCACAGTCCTACAATATGCCAATATTCAGAAGCAAAATATTAAAATATGTTGTTTTATTTTCAAGTTAACTTTGAAATTTTAATTTAATTTCAACTTTAATTGATACTTTATATGGATGTTAAGTATCAATTGTGTAACAAGTTCCCAAATTTCACAGAAATGTGAGCTGCATTAGGACTCTTAAAACTAACTACATATGGAGAATACTGAGGAGGCATGGGTCTGTATCATTGTCACTGCCTTCCCTGAATTAACAGCTCATGTTGCATGATAAGGCCAGATAAACTACAGAGCATCTGTAGCCTGATAAAGGGGAGGAAACCATATTTTTATTTTTCAAAGTTTCATTGAAAGCTAATGCATAATTTACTACAATTTTTTACACTAACAATGTATTTTAAAAATGTGAAATAATATAGCTGTGAATATAGACACCATGAGAGCTTGGAGTAGCAAAGCTCATTTTAGAAAAGTAGAGGCATCAGATAAAATGAAAATTAAAAATGTTTCAAGGAGAACCCTAGGAACATCAATGGTGGTATTTAAAGAAACCTTCTTTCTAGGGTTATAATTGTAGGGAATAATTGTAATTTCCAACTTGCAAGGTGTCAGAGTTGGTGTTCCCCAAAATTAAAGAATAATTTCTAAGGAACAACAGAGATTAAGAGTAGGAAAAATTAATTGAGAGAGAGAGAGAGCTCCTGAGAGATAGGAGGGGATCTGAAAGTGGGTTGCTATGGATCACTACGTCATAGAGGAAGTTTTACATAGCAAAATCATCAGACAGGTACAATGTGGATCAAAACCATGATCAACAATTAGATTACAAGTATAGCCACTTGAGTACTATTGATCTAATCGGGAAACAAGTCACATAGCAAGTGTACATGGAAAGAACAAAGACCTTCTTAGAAGGTGATTGATCAGGAGGTCCTTGTCACCCACCTGAGTGACTGATATCTTGCTAGACTTTAGTGAACCAGGTGATACAATTATAGTAAATCTTCAATTGACTGTTTAGTTCTTCAGCAGACCTAGTCATTCCGCCTTTGTCCTGAGGCCGGGCCTTCAGCAGGTGCCCCTCCAGCTACAGGTACAATGTGTTCTCATCCTCTGTAGACTCCCTTGAGGGCCTAGCACTGCCTGGCTGCACAGAACACTTCTACCTAATTTATTGTCTATAATTTCAGCTTTCTACTTTCATGATGTAATACTAAAGATGGTAGGTTATGCCTATGTCTTTACTCTTTAGCAATACACTGAGACCTCAGAGAAAAGGATATAAATATAAAACACACATTTAAAAAATCAGAATGGTTATGCAGGCTTTTATTATGGCTAACATTTATATAATCATAAAGATCTCTTTAAAACAAATGTCTCAGAATCTTTGTGAGGGACCCACGGTGAAATCAAAATTAACAAAGTTTCTATAAAGAACATATTTCAGCATATAAACCAACAATTCTTCTCTACATTTTTAATTCTGTGGCATAATTACATTATTTTCCAACTCAGAATGACCTAATAATTTGAAAACCACAATTAACAAAGATAAAAGACATTATACTGTACTTTTCCAAAGTAAAGAAATGTACTTCATCTAATATTTTTATAAACTCCATCTAATGTTACAAAGTAAATTTTATCAGGGAAAATATCTTTAAATCTTGGGAAAGTACACAATGAAAAGACAGATACTTTATGTAACTAATTTAAAATTGCATACTGTAAGGCAAGGAAATATAAAATTATGTGAGTACATGAAAATGCTAAATGGCACAGGACTGTCAAAATACAGAAGATACTGAGAAATGAATGAAAAATCAAAATCACTAAGCAGTGGAAACTTTTTCTAATATAAAATTGATACTAAAATGCCACAGAAAAAAGAAAACTACTCCTGGAAGTGGTGGTGACAAATGCCAGAGGTAGCTTTAAAGATTGTATGGAACAAAGTGAATTCACTTACCACCTCCTTCAAAAAAAAGGGAGAATAATTTTCTTGGGAGATTTATGCACCACTAGCAGATACATCATGCACCATCCAGAGAAATGCTTGGTATTTTCAGAAACAACTATTTCAATGGTGAAAACGACATAGGAATCAGAAGCATATTCTGCTGAGACGCTAGATAGTTGACACTTTCCCGAACTGGAAAAACATTTCATAAGAAGATATATAAGGTTATTGATGAATGATTCAAGTCTGTTTTAAAAGTAATCTGTACCTAGTGAAATGGCTTACCAGCCGCCACAATTCTGGGATCCTCGTGAGACTGGTGTCTTCCAGCTGCACGACTGTCAGCAGTTGCGTTCCACCAAAGCACATGAACTGCAGAAATAAAGCGTATGTTAGTCTATATTAGTCTTTTATTAATAGTTTTGAATATATAGGATGGTAGCTTTTGAATATATAGGATTCCGCAAGAGGCAGAGATTTGGGATAGAAATTGTGTATCAGTTAAACTGGAAACAGGAGGCTGAAGAGGGAAGTAAAGAAAGAGTTAAAAACCACAATTAAGAGTAGATCCACATTTCATGCAGTTCTATTACTTTTTATTTAACAAAGCAGATTATAACAAAACTGTGATTACTACGGAAAATTTAAGAACCAAAGTAGAAAATAAATCTTAGGATCATCTTAACTGACCAGGTAAATTCTGTTATGTATTTCCATTTTAAAAAATGAGTAAATCTAATTAGTCTTATATATAACACTTGTAAGTTAAAAACCAATGACAGTACAGTAGTTAATGTTAATTTTTAAAATTAAATTTGATACATTAAAAATATAAGCATTATGAATATTAATAGGTTACGAGTGATGTTAATTTTATTTAATGGCTCTAAGAATTTCTCCTTATCTATATAATTCATTTTTCTTAATTCTTTATTGTCAATTATTTAGATTATCATCAATATTGCAGTGTACTACAAAATCATGAAATAGATGTTCTTGAGAAAGGGATTTTTTTTTGGTCATAGGGATCTAACTCATGACCTTGCACTTGCCAGGCAGGCACTTATGCCACTGAGCTAAATCCCCAGCCCAATGTTCTTGTACATAATTATTTACATAGTTTTATAACTAGAATTCACTGTTAGCTATAAAGGTTTTGTAAAATACAGGAAGAAAGAACCATTTCTATTCTTACTACTCCAAAATGATCACTTTAATTGTGGTATATCATCTCAAAATTGACATATATGTAGTTACTTTTATTTATGTTTATGTATTTATATTCATACTAAGATTACCAATAGGTATAAAATTAGAGAAAGCAGACAATTGTACCTCTGTTGAGTAATCCATATTCTGTGTGGAAAACACCAACTAATTTTGCATAGCCTAGATCAACATGGGCATTAATTGCCCTTTTAAACGCATCACCCCACAGAGCTGGGCCACCAGGCTTCATCTGAAAAGTAGCCAGTTCGTAGACTCCTAGAGTAAGGAGAAGAATAATTATTTCATAAAATATATGAAAGTAATTTTTAATCAAGTTTTTGATTTCAGGGGTACATGATTAACCTTTCTGTATATATTTGAAGGATCATCCACATGATATATTTATGCAGCCATATTCATTAATTGTTCACATTAATTTTTCTTAAGTAGAGAAAGTCATGTCTGTTTAAGGATCACCTGTGAAGCTGACTCAATGAGAAGAAAAGGAAAAAAGACTAGAATTTATATATAAGGTACTTTATATATAACGTATTTTTAATCTGTAAATTTTGCTGATGCAACTGAGAATTTATAATGCAGTGCATTTTTGAACTGTTATAGTCAGTGGAAAAGAAATTAATAAGAGAAGTATCTTCTGATCTACGTTTTCTTCTTTTGAACTTTGAGAGGAGAATTTTATTCTTTGTACAGTTTCTTCCCACAGAATTCCACTTCTAACAGGACTAACAAGTAAACAGCTCATCTGAGTTTTTGAACCAAAAAAGGGGCAGGAGTGGCTTTATTATTCCTCAATATCCAAGTTAATACTTATAAAGCTTTTTACTTCTAACCTGAAGAATGGGGTAAGTGGATGTTAGAGACCGGGCTGTACAGGTTTAAGGGGCTAAACACAGGGCCCTCTGGCTGTGCTGGAAAAGAGCCCATGCATGATGCTCTGAAGTCAAGATAACCACAGCTGAGGCAGCTGAGAACAGAATAGGGCTGCTGAGACACCCTATTCCACAGCAATAAAGCTGCCATGTTAGAGATAAGAAGGTTCTGTTAACTGGCAAAATGTACTACTTGGAGAAGTCTTTGGACTGATTCTCAAGGTCCTGCTCAGTTCCTGGGCATGGCTCAGTACCTTCTTTAGTTTGAAAACCAACTAAATGCAGGTTCTTTGTCTCAGTCCTCAGGTATCTCAAATTCCCTTACACGGTTCTGTTCCTCTTGGAACTCTAAAATCATACCACTTGTCTCTTTTATTTAAGCTTTGTGCAGTTCACTAGTTTAGAAGATTAGGGCTATGTCAAGACCCCAGTACATGGAGACGAGGAAACTAAGCAGTAAGTAGGTCAGCGAAGAAAACGGAAAAACATACGAATTTACTAAAGAATTACGAATACAGTGAGAACAGGACTTGACATTGCCAAGGAAAGCAAAAATATTTAGATAGTGCTGAGAAATAAGAGGATACGGTTCTCTATAAGACTTTAAATTTCTTGTAATACAAAACATGCTACAAAACCAGGAATAGTAGGAGAAAATAAAAGTTACATTAGTTTCTAGTTTTTTAATGTAATCTTTGATTTAAAGGTGAATTAAGGTAATGGTTTACATCAGCAATTTTCAAATTGGGATATAAGAAGAAAAATACAAAGTGGGGATACATTAATACAGCTTAGCAGCTTCAGATAATTCATTTCTCCCAGTTTTATAAGCAAAGATATACTTAATGATTTTACATCATTAATTTTTGAGAAATATTTTATATTTAAATGCTCCTAGTATTTTAAAATTATGAATTTCAAGGCCAGGGATTTAGTTCAGTGGCGTAAGAGCCTGCCTGGCAAGTACAAGGTTGGGAGCTCAATTCCTAGTACCCCCCCCCAAATAAATAAAAATAAAATTATGAATTTCATACATTGACCTTACTTACCACACATGGAACCTGATCTCAAAGCTAATTTCTCATACTTTCCTGACTCAGTAAGACTTTTGCCATAAAATAGCTAAGTTTACCAATCTGTAAAATCTCTATATGGGAAAATTCTCCATTAATTTATTCTTATATTTTAAAGATAAGCTAAGAGCTTCAATTTGCTTTTGTATCAACGATCATAGCATGTTGCTATATGAGACAAAGAAAACTTTCTGTCATTTCTAGTAGTATAGTACTTTGACTTTTATTGCTTGAGATCCTTAGTGCTGTACTCACCAAAACAGAGGAAGACCTACCTTCTTTTTCAGGCTTTTCTATTTTGCACCATGGGACCAGATAAGTAATCTCACTCTCTTGTTTATCAATGTGAGCCAAATTAGGAAGGAGGAATTGTTCTTGCCACTCCTTATCTTTAGCCAAAGCTTTCCGGACTGCAGTTCGATGAGCAAAATTATCTATGGGAAAATACATTAAGAAAAATTTTAACTTAAAATCATCCATACTTTTCTAGATTCTATGAAAATCAAACATTCATCTTTGACACATAGAAACACTGTGTTATACTTTTGGAAATGCTCACATGAAGAGATATGACATTTTCTCTCAAGTTGTTCATGGTCGTAAGTGGAACAGATATGCAAATAACAAATGTAAAGACTTGGAACAGGCTTCTTAGGTAAGTGTGTGAATTAGTTAGGATATTATACTTTTCTGTCTCCATGTTTCATTCTATGAAATGGAGATAATATCACTTAGATCTCCAGATTTGATTCAAGGATCAAATGAATTATAACATGAAAAGAGCTTAGAAGGATCATTGGACACCTTGCTAATATGCACTAATATGTGAACTATTCTTATCATTTGAGTCATCTAATAGTACCACTTTATAGAAAGACTATAGTAGTAGGTAGTCAAGTCAAGGTACACCTTGAACACATTTCAAGGTAAATTAAATTGAAACATAGCCCATAAATCTCTTTGACAAACAGCTTGAATGAAATAGTGCCAATTTTCTTACCTATGGTTACCCACTGTTTTCCCTAGCACTTTTTTTTTTCCTTGCAAGTTAATCAAACAGGTATATATAACAGCCTAGTACTATTCTTAAAAATAGGACCTCTTGAGACACTGGTAATTTTATAAAGCTTATAATGGAATTTGGGGACAATAACTACTTTACATCTTAAGTGTAATTCATCAGAACTTCATGTTTTCTTAATGCATTATGATTTTTTCTACATTTAAAGTATAAGCTCGGTTTTAATGTGGCTTATTGTATTATAACAGGGAAATACCCTACACTGTACACATTGTTAGGAATATAGAATTATAAATTTTCATAATAAAGTATTTTATAAATACTAACTTGGACCCTGATGAACAAAAATTAAAGGATATCATTAATAGTTCTTTGGATATCTTCAAGCCCTGATATGGAGTATTAAATCTGGACACTGGAGTAACAAAGATTCTTTAGATTTTTGGAACTTCATCTCCTTTCCCAGGGATATGTAAGCTTCAGTATGGGAAGGACGTTCTCTGATTCCTTTCCTTTTACCACCTTAAAATATTATTAACTCCTGAAAAGAAACAAAGGTGGCCTTTAAATATAACAATATTATTAAGCCTCTGAGTTGAGTGAAGCTTAAGTTAACTGTCAGCCTCTTTCACCTTCATTACCTAAAGCTCCCAAACATCTGAATTATGCCTGCCAAGATGCTGATATACAGTCCCAGTTTTTTTTTTTTTATTATAAAACAAAGCTTTGTTAATGAGAAACATTGGTCATGAGGCCCAAGTCTGTAATCCTAACACTCAGGAAGCTGAGGCATGAGGATCATGACTTTCAGGCCAGCCTGAGTTATATAGAAAGTTTAAGTTTTATCATTTGTATTATGTAGTAAGATCCTGCCACAAAACAAAACAGAAAAGAAGACAGGTTTTTTGTTTGTTTGCCGAACTTATTCTAATTGGAATTTTATAAGTACTATTTTAAATTTTTTGTAAACTACCTTTCCAATAAATGACTAAAAATTTTTTTCTGAGAATTTAAATCTAGTTCGTCATGTTAGAATTTCATACAGTGTCCTGAGAAATGGACAACTGTACGTAATGCAGATCCAAGAAATCTCACCATGTATCAGAATCAATATCATACTGAATACTTAATTGGGATGATGCATACCGTACTTCCAAATATGAAACACCTTGTTCATTCTGCCTCCAAATTCTACACTCCAGTATCCAACCAGTTCAGAATGAGCTGTCCGAAGATGAACATTTTTCTTAAAATTTTCCAGGAACTCATTTGTTTTTGAGGGTTTAAGATAATAGGTACGAAATTCATAGAATGTTCCATCATTTTGTCTGGGGCCTGTAGCAAAAGATGTGCACACCTGAGGAAAGAAGAGAAATTTAAATCTTAGGGAGAAGGGCAGGATTTAGTATGGTGTAACCAAATCTACATATGACAACAATTGGCACATAACTCATCCTGTTTGTTATTCTCCTGTAAACTCTACAGAGAAGTGAGTTTAGGTAGCAATATCAATAAAGAAAACTACTCAAATATACTGAATGCATAGCTACTCTTTCCTAGCAGGGGTTGACCCTCAGCCCCTTTTAATGAGAATTTGTTCACACTAAGAAACTAGAATTTTAATATTCCTTAACCTGAGAACTACAATTATAACTTTCCTAAGTTTACACACTCAAACTTAACAAAATTTTATCATTAGCCAATCACGTACATGCTTAAATGATACATTTAGAATCTTACTAATTTGCATGCCTATCTTGGGTAGCCACAATGAAATTATATTTACTAGTAGAGTATTTTTTAAGTTCTTAAAAAATATCAATTATTATTATGTCAAAGTATCTCTTATTCAGTGTAAATGATTGGTTACAAATAGGCCTGCAACGTAATGACCGCAATAAGGTACTTTATGTGCTAATCTGCTGCACTGCAATAGTCAGTGGTGGCCAGTATTTGCTCATTTGGTGGAAGATCGGTCCAGGAGCAAGCAGCTGATGGACCAGACTTTCATTTACCTTGAGTGTATGAGAGTCTAGATTCGTTACCCAAATAGGAAGCCCAGTCACCACGTGACAAACGCTGCTAGAGGCAAAACTGGCCACAGACCAGCAACAGCCCCAGGACCAACAGGCAGCCAGCACTGAAAGATCCTCGCACGGGGTTTCCGACCAGCTTCTCCCACCCCACGCTCGTCCCGCCCTTGAGCTCCGGGTTGGCACCAGAATGGACCTAAAGGGGCCTTAAAGAAGGTAGCGCGCATGCGTGGGGCTCTGCACTCCCTGCAAGGCCCGCCTCCACCCCCTGCTGTGACTCGGGCGCGTCCCCCAGGCCGGTACCTGAGGCGCGCGCGCCCGCGAGGCCAGAACCCGGACCAGGCCGCTTCGGAAGGCGAGCATGGTGCGGATCCGAGTGCTGAGACCCGTGACGCCCCAGAAGAGGCTCCTCTCTCGGCTTCCTGACAGTGGCTGCTTCGAGAAGGGAGTGGGCGTGTTAGGGGGCGGGGCTTGGCGGGTTGGTCCCGCCCATCCGGGAAGGCTCGCTCCGCCCGCAGATTAGGGTGTGAGCCCGGCCCTTTGGTCCCTTTGGTCCCTGTACTCAAACGCTGTGGCCCTGACTGCAGGCTTCTCAGCTGCGCTGAGTGCTGAGAGCAGTTTTTCTCACCCCCTGGGCCACCTCTTCGTGTCCGCCCAGGAGCCCAGGAGTGGCCCGTGGCATTCCGCTGTTCGTGCGGAAGCATGGGAAGCAGGAGGCTGGAGGTGCAGCGGGGGTGCTGTTTTCCATCGGAAATCACGAGGGGTTTGACTTTGTGTGATAAGACTGGAGCAGAAGCCAGCCGTTTTCTTTTTCATCCTAGTTGTAGTTGCCACTCCATTATGACCCCTTGGAAAGCTCCTAATATGGGTCTTATATGAGAAATTCAGATTTAAACTGTGAAATTTAATACTTGTATTAGAATTAAAAATAAAACGTCAGACTGCTGATAGTCTTTTCTATCCCATAATAACTTCATTTAATATTTTTATCTGTTTCTTCTAATATATATTTTTATCTTCCTCAGGCATTTTCTGATATTTAATGGTTTTCCAGTCAAGATAGAATCTATTGACTTGTGGGATGAAGATTTAGATTTCACTGTATCACTGGACATGGTTTGAATAGGTTGTTCAAAGTCGTGATAAAGAACCTAACCTACCTAACTTGTAGAACCGTAGGCTTGCTAATGTTGCTGCTAGTGTGAAAATCTTTTTAGTTAATGTTTGCTTTTTGGTGATACCCTCCACATGTACCTAGTTCTAAGCCTTTGCCTCTGTACCAAAATCCAACAATCTCTGTTTTATTTATTTTTTTTTGCAGAGAAGCTGTAGAATTTGGCCCAGTACCTGGTTCTTAAGACCGTCCAGATGATATAGGGGAATGAAACTTCCACCCTACTACATGTCCCAGTAGGAGTTCATGTTCCCTAAAATCAAAGAATGAATTTTAGGAACAAAAGTGGTTGAGAGTAGAATATATTTATTGAGAGAAAGAATTTCTCTGAGAGAGAGACAGAAAGGGGTCCTGAATGGGTTGCCAAAGACCATCTTTTAATAGGGACTTTTTAGAGTTAAACCATGAGATGAGATGGGGCCAAGATGGGAAAAACTGGGAACTCACAGGCAGACAGGCATGAGGTGGGACAGAACTGTGGTCAACCAATAAGATTAACTGTTCAAGTAAAATTGACCAAATCAGGGACGAATGGGGAAACCGAGTCACAGAGCAAGCAGACATTCTTAATGGAACAGTGACTCTTCTTATAGAGGGCTGGGATGGTCTCTATTTAGAATATCAATACTTGGGGTGTAGTTGCATTCATTTGCAGTTTGTTTTGAGTTCCGGTCCAAAGCAGAGGTATCCATTTCCTCCAAGTTTGGAAGGTATCTGGTTTTCTGCATTGGCTCCGTTAGAGAGTCCAGCCCTGTTTGACTGCCTACAATATTTCTAACTTACTTAGCTGCCTATAACACAGATATTAGCATACAGAGAAAGCCAGTCAACAGCAATAACTATCACATTGGCTATAGTACTGTTATGGTTTGTGTCTGGATATGCTCCCAAAGCATATGCAATCATGGGGACAGGCTTCTAGAATTTGTGATTGATTCATGGTCCAATGCTGGGATTACATCCACCCTAGGGTGTGTGGCTTACATAAAATATAAGGGACAGAAAGAGTCTTCTCTCTGCACTCCTCTGCTTTTTGCTCTTGTAGCTTTTGCTGTCTTCTGCTGCCATGAACCATTGCCCTCTGCTATGTGCCACTCAGCCCTGGATCCAGCCAAGTATGGACTGAAACCTCCACAAACTGTGAGCTAAATAAATATTTCCCTTTTTAATTTTAGGAATTGAATATTTGGTCCCAGCAATGAGAGAGAAAAGTAGCCAAGACTTGTACTTTATCCTCTTTTAGTTACTCTCATTCCACTTTGTGAAGTTGATATCTCTCATTTTGCAGGTAAAAGAACAACAGAGAAGATATTCACAGAGTTTAACATTCATCAGAGGTAACAAGTTGTACAGACCTAGTTCACTCATTACTCTCCGCTATTCTGGGGTCTGGGTATACCAAAATTTTGTTCCCTTTGCTATTGATAGTTAAGTGTTTCCATATGTTTATTTTATAAATAATGTTTCAGTGAATAACTTTGCACAGCTACAAATAGAATAACTAAATTTATTTCACTTCACTTCACTAGATCCTGCTTATTTTTTAAGTATCAACACATAGTCCTGCAAGCTGTGAATGGAATTTCCTTTCTCCACATTCTTGCAAAATTTTACTGTAAAACTTTATTATTTGCTTCCATTTAAATTGAAATATTTCAAATTATGTTTCTGTGACTTTTTTGTGAATTGAGCATCTTTTATAATTTTGCAAGGCAGGTAATTTTTACTTTTGAAGGCCCTAGCTCAGTGATGTTGAACCTTTTAGAGCTTTCAGTGATAACCAACAGCCCACTGTGGCATGCGTGCCATAGGTTCTCCACCATTACACTTTTGCTCAATTTTTGGTTTTTCTTTCTTTCTTTTTTTTTTTTTTTTATTACAGGCTTACTAAAGATGCTGGAGGAACACAGCAGTGTCAGAAATAACTAAGATAACAGGTGACTTTGAATGTTGTTTTCTTACAAAAGCCACAGAGACAGACCTGCTCAGGATGGATGGCAAATGCTATCTTGCAAAGGGCTGGAAATGCACACAACAGTTTGTGCATGAGATAGTTGTTCCAGGTCAAGGACTCTGGCTTCATCATTGGGCTGCAGGATCTCAAAATTGCACTGTGGTGATCACAGTATAGACTCTAGAGTTAGATTTTTCTGTATTTCAATCCTAGTTCTGCTTCTTGCCATTTGTATAATGGTAGTAAGTTACTTCTTTGTATATTATTTTCCTCATCTATGAAATGAAGATAATAGTACTGTTAATGATACAAAGTTGTTTATGAGGATAAAAACAAGCATTTAGAAGGGGAATTGATACCATAATATATAGTTTTTCTTTAAACTTGCATAATACAAAAGATGCTATGCCAGGTGTACTTTATGTATTAACTCACTGCGGAATTGACCTTCTATGTTGATGTTTAACTCACCCTGATAGGCAGATTAGAAAATAGTTGGCAAACAGTGAAAACTTATTGCATTGCTGCCTGCAAGTCAATATTTAAATGCTAACTCAACTGATTAGGAGGGATAATTATTATACACTATAAAATTAAAAAATATAGAAGGTCTGCAGAGTCCTTCCTGAAGATTATGTAAGTGATGCAAAGAGCACAATTTTGGAGCATGCAACTATGCATTTGAACTCTGATTCTGCTAATAATTAACTGTGTGACCTTGGGCATGTTATTTACTATTTCTGATTCTTAGCTACCTTATTTGTTGATTGGTAAAAATACTACTACTATTTAGGGTGGTATTTTCCCATAGAATTACAGTCATGTAATTGTTAGGCAATGTTTGCCCTTGTGTGAACATCACAGAGTGTACTTACATAAGCGAAGACATCATTATATCAATATGTAATATGAGCACATTGTTGTGTATACAGTCCACTGTGATCAAGACATGATTATGTGCCATTTGACTATCCCCTGAGTGATAATTTTCTACTTAATTTCTACTTTGAAAAATGCTGGAATAGAGGTGATTTTTTGAGTCAGTTTTTAAAGAATAAATTTTTGAGCTCTAGATTTTGGAAAGGCTTTTTGGTTTACTTGTAAGACATACAGAAGGGTGTATGTAGAAAGTTTGAAGAATTTCAAGAAGGAGGTAGATAATTATGCTTTTTTGGGTTGATCATGGGAGACAATGGCTGTTGTTGCCTCTAATGGGAGCAGCCCTTGTAGTCTTTTTTGTTTTCATGATTGTGAGATTGTGTAGGTGATCAGTTCTCAGTCCTCAGATTACGGATGAGAGAACTGAGGCCAGGTAGAGAAGTGATATCACACTTGTGGTGTCAACTTGTGCTAGACACAGAAACAGGACTCAGTATTTCTGGCTTCTCTGGTCAGAAAGGAGCTGAGGTTCCAGCATAGTCTTTTGTAGTCTTCAATGGGAATGTACTACTAAGCATTCTGAGTCCCTGTCATGTAAGATTATTCGTTATTATCTGAAGTTTCTAGTTTAGTGCCTCTGCTAGGTGACCAGTCTCTGGCTGCTAGCTTCCAGAAATGCCTGGAGGAAAGATGTTTTTTGGGCTTTACTGATTCCTGTTGCTAAGAATACCTCAGTGGGACTCACCAAAAGACTCTTCTTTCTGTGGTCTCACATGTTAGAATGGGCAAGGCAGCTCTCTGGGTCCTCCTTTTTAGGGTACTAGTCCCCTTCTTTCTTTGAAATGGAAACTGGATGATATAAAATCCTTGACAGACCAGTGTGATAGCAATATCAAGATGCTGCCTTTGTGTGCCCCAGGGACAGGAGGACTGCTGCCTCACATGTATGTCATTCATGGAGTAGAAAAGAACAAATGAGGTACAGGGTGGGCTGACAGCATCTGCTTAGGAGCAGGAATAAATGAAGCATCCTGTCAGAAGAGTTTATTTCCACCTTCATCTTATTATAAGGGAAGGAACGTGAGTTTTGAAGGGAGAGATCTTGGAATACATTGTACCTACATCTAGATGATCTTAGCCTATTTATTTGAAGTCACCCTTGGTTCCAAAGTCAGAGCAAAAGAATCTGTACACATGGGGTTGGAAGATACATTATGGCCTGTCCCATAGTGGCAGAGATACAGGACAGACTGTCCTAGATCCAGTTTCCATCCCTGGTTCTAATACAGATGAGCTGGTGGCTTTCAGCAGTCTGCTTGATCTCGGCTTTGCCACCTCTAAATGAGTAATAAAGGGCCAAAAGACTTCTGTTGGTCTTAACAACTCTGTTTGGGAAGGAGATCCAAACCATTTTTTCCTCCTGATCATTTCAGGAAGTGGCTTCCTTTTGGTAGTTTTCTGCCACTTTCTCAGCATCATCCTTGCAGGGTAAGAACCAGCAACTTTAAGTGAGTGTGCCAAGAAGTCTTGGCTATTGTGAAATAACAGCTAATCTACTTATGACTCCAGTAAATGTCAGAAACACTAAGTATTGCTTATGATGGTGCTCCCTAAAATTTCTTGTGACTATGAAAGATCACATCTCACTGATACATTGTTTAGATATTCAGAATAACTTCCTGGAGAAGACCTTGACTTCTCCAGGTATGAATGGTGCTGAGAGAAGAATCAACAGGGTCTTGTTTGTGGTGGCTGGGTCAGCACAGTCCTTGGGTCCTATGGTCAGGGTTCTGGTCACATTCTGGTACATTTTTCAATGCAGCCCTTGATGTTTTCTGTCCCAGTTTCTTATGATTGGGATCTAGAATGTTCCCTGGAAGGCTTGATTGCCAGCTGATGGACTTTTAGGAATTGACTGGATCATAGGGCTGTAATTTTACCAGTGGATCAACCCATTGTTTGATTCATAATTTTTTCATATTGAAAAATGATGGATTCTTAGGAGGTGAAGCTTAATGGTGAACCCGGGGGCTTTGAAGACTGTGTTTTGTCCCCATTTCCTTCTAATTTGGCTTTCTCATTCTTTCTGTTTGCTGCTGGTGAGGTGAACAGATATGCTCTGCTATGTTTTCTCTGCTATGATGCTCTGCCTCATGCAGGCCCAGAGACAATGCAGTCAAGCAATCATAGATTGAAACCTTTGTAAATCTGAATAAACATTTCTTCTTTTAAGCTGTTATTCTCAGGTATTTTGTCACAGCTAACACACAATTCTTATCTATGAAGACACATGCGATGTCACAGGAAAAAAAACCAACATTCTAGATGTCCTTCAGAGTATTACAGGAAGACATTTCAGACTATCTGTGGAAGATGTATGTGGAGATCTCAGCCAAAATTTAACTAATATTAAACTTGGCCCATTCTTCGTCATGCTGTATTGAGGAAAAAAAGTCTACAAATAGTAGACTAGAGTGGTAGAGAGACTCAGATTATGGCCTGATGGTTTACTGAAAGTTTAGAATATCCCAAACTAGAAAAGATGATTAGAGATATTGTTATCTATGGAGGACCACCTGGATAACTGTCCTTTACAAATGAGCAATTATCTTCACTTTGGCTAAACCTGGCCCTATTTCCATGTACCCAAATGTACAGATCAGGCTCAGGCCATTTCCTTTTCCCTTCAATTGGCTCTAAGCAATGTAGATAGGGCTAGCTGAGGGGCTGACGTGTAATCTTTGAAGCTAGGTGATAGTTGCTAGGTGACAGTGGCTGTTTCCCTGCTCCATGACTCCCCAAACATGATTGAGCTGGGTGGGATGAAGCGCCATGGCTTCCACTGGTTTCTAGTCTCTAGATTAGAGGCTACGACTTCCCAGTGCAGAAAAGTTTGCACATCATAGCCGAAGCACTGGCCCCTTTAACATTAAATGCTATCTCAGTTGTGTTACACAGATTGGTCTTCTCTCTGCATATTGCAGAGGTGCTTTCAGGCCTCCTACCTAGCCCTGCTGATGGCACTCATGGATTTCCTGCCATTCTCAGTTACTCGTCCTCAAACCACTCCCTTGATAAATTAATAAAATCCAGCCTGGACTTAGGATGCCCTTGGCCCCCCATAATTATAAACGTGTGTGTCTTTAGTCTTGTCTTGGGTTGCCCTGGAAGTGGTAGATTGGAATTAACTTGCTAGAATTTCAGTAACATTTCTATGGGATTACAGATATAAACTTCTTGGATTGTGATGAGGATGAGAAAGATCTCTTTAGAGTGAACATCCAGTTGTTTAAAGACTAAGGCAGCCTTGTCAAGAATAAAAATAAATACGATTACAAATTTGAATTCTGCAAATTTCTAGGCGCTTGACAATAGGGAAACTTTTTAAATTCAGGACTTTATCCTGTGTAACAGATGCTATTAATACTGTTCTTAAAGCTTTGTTGTTTATATGGAAAGTCTCTTGGATCCTCTCTCATGGATGGATTCTGTGCTAACTTGTGGTATGATGAAGAGCACTGGAAGACTTAGCAGGCTGTTTTGATTATGGCATCTTGGAAGAGGTGTGTGGTTTCTGGCTGTTACAGTTTAGTGTCAAAATGTAGTCGATGCTCTACCATATTTGTCGTGGTTTCCTTCTCATCACCAGGGTTGGGCAGGGGGATCTCAATGACTTTAAATGATAAGAATGTGCTAGAATAACATTCATAAGTTTAGGAGGGATAACTTCTTTGTATGCCATGTATAATATAAATATTAGTTTTGAAAAAGATTTTAGACTGATCCAATCTTGATATAAGTGGACTGTAGACTGGCTTAATCCAAGACATGATTTTCATGTCTTACTTACTGTCTTATTAGAATTCTAATCTGTTCTTTGAATCTTGATGTTAAAAAAATATGAGAGGTGATTATACTTTTTATTTTTCAGTTTTTTCTCAGTTAATTCATAATTATATTTGCAATACGCATTAAAACATAAAAGAATATAGCTGTCAATACAGTTTGTCTAGATATCTTGGAAGTACAAAATCTCTTAAGGTGGAAGCAAAAGTTATTTGTAGAAAAACCCTACCACATTAAGGTGGTACTAAAGAAACACTAATTCTGGGTTTTATAAACATGCTGTTTTCTTAATGTAATAATATTTACAATAAAGACTGTAAATTATGTCAGGAATATAGCTCAGTGGCATAGCATCTACCTGGCAAGTATGAAGTCCTCAGTTTGAGTCTCAGTACCACCACCAACAAAAAAAAGCTAGTAAATTACTTCTCATTACATTAGAGCAATAGTTCCAGAGAAGACGATAAAAATATAAAACTCAGGAGAAGGAATTAGAATATACAGGTAGGCTTTTATTAGGGAAAAGATTTCCATATTCAAAAGATATCATTAAACCAAGGATCCAAAATGAATAATTAGTATACAATTAATTATAAATGAAGATACTTCAGCATAGAAACCACAGTCTTCAAAGATTTTAAGTATGGGCACCTAATAACGTGTTCTAACTAATTAGCTAATTAGAAAACCATAAAAAAGGACACAAATAATAATATAGTTTTACATAGCAAAAGATACATGTCCAGTATTTTCATGAATCACATTTGATACTATAAAATATACAGGGCAAAAAAACTGAAAACAATGACCTTAGGGAAACAGACATGATGCAAAGATTGATAGTGTGTATTAATAATTTAACTATATGGTCACAAGCATGAAAATGTGACCTTATTAATGGAATACAAGTTTATTAGAATACAGAAGACATAGTCTGAAACAAGTAAAAAATCAAGACCATTATACAGTAACAATTATCTCTGTAAAATAAGATGGAAAATGAAGTAATAATTACAAAGACATTTCCACATGTAAACCAAGAGTCTTCAAAGATTTTTTGTATTAGGGCCTATTTTCTAATTGATATTTTCATCATGTGACAAGTACTGAAATACCAAGTGGAAAATGAACTCTTATTTCCTGAAATAGGGGTAACAAATGATAGACATGGCTTTAAAATATATAAAGAACATAGTGAATTAACTTACCACCTTCTTCAAAGAAAAAAGAATCATTTTCTTGGGAGAATTTAAGCACCATTGGAAGACACACCTTATAATACCAGTTAATGAAATACTTAGTATTTTCAGTACCAAACTACTTCAATGGTGAAAATGATAAAGGAATCAGAAGTATATTCTGCTGAGATTCCAGGTAGTTGACACTTTCCCGAACTGGAAAAACATTTCATAAGATACATAAAGTAATCGACTGAATCCAATTTGCTCTAAAAATAATCCATGCTTAGTGAAACAGCTTACCAGCCGCCACAACTCGGGGATCCTCGTGAGACTCATGTCGCCCAGCTGCACGACTGTCAGCACTCTCATGCCACCAAAGAACATGAACTGCAGAAATAAACCAAAAATTATTTCTATAGGATATGACATTAATAAATAAATACTGAAAAATGAGTCTAAAATGTCATATTTTTAAAATTAGAATGATCCAGAAAGGTAGAGCCAAATATTTCAGTGATAAAATTTCAGAGGGGTAAGAGGCTTTGGAAAGAAATTTATCAATTAATTACTCAAACTGGTTCTATAGATTAAGAAACACATAAATCAGGAAAAGGGAAGTAAAGTAAGAAAGCTACAGGCACACGACACAAGACCATGTTTCCTTCAACATTTTAAAAGACATTATAAAACGTCCTGTTTACTATGGAAAATTTACATGAAACAAAGAAGAAAGTCAAAAGCAGCATAATGTTAGCTACTATACTAAATCAATATTCAGTATATGTCTCTAAAAATATGAGGAAAACAAAATTAGGATCTTATTGTATATTATATTATGCTCAGTAACAGGTTCTTCAAAATTAACAGTATCTTCTATTACAGTAATACTTTTATGACTATAGAAATTCCTGTTTACAGATGCAGTAATGTTTTGCTAACCCTTATCAATGGCTATTTAGCATTGATAGTAGTTTAGCATTCTGTAAAACACTGGAATAAATATTTTGCTTGTGTATAATTATACTTTTTTATAACTGCAATGTAATACAAGTTAGATGTACAGAAAAATGCAGGAGAAACCAGTAGTCCATTCTATACAACCCAAAATAAATTACTTTATCTATGAGATACTATGCAACTTTATGTGTATATTACAGATAAACGTTGTTTCCAATGCTTCCTTAATGTAAAATGGCATAAACTTTGAATACATCTACATGTGTATCTGTAGTAATAATAATATTTATGACAATTACTAGTGACATGTAATGGGTGACTTCCAGGCTTTATTTTAAGCATTTTTGTATATTAATTCATTTAGCCATTATAATACTCTAACTGGTAGGTTAATTACTGTCATAATTTTACTGATGAGGGAGCTAAGGCACAGTGTGGTTAACTTACACAGAAGCACAAAGTTTTTAAGCAGTTATTAAGGGCAGGATTCATGCTTTTTGGATCTGTTTATTTCCTTAACAAAAAGAAAAATTTAAATTCAGAGAAGTATGTATCTATCTGTCTCATATATGTATATATGTGTTACATAGATGTTTAAAAGATTTAGAGCAAATATGTTATAAACTGTCTTCCAGAAATGATGTAATGCTTTATAGTCAGAATATTACCATTCTCCTACTATCCTGAGAACGATTTTAAGATTTAAAATGTATGCATACAAATTTCAGTTTTTTCTTATACATATTCAGTATAGAAAACTGAGATAATATCATTATTCAAATATGACTATTTTATATTCTGTGCTTTTAAATTTTTTCCAGTGCACTAGTAATACTTGCATATTTTCTAGAAGTAATATTGCCAAAGGTAGGAAAAAGAACACTTTTGTTTATACAGCCAGATTTGTGGAAGAAAAATTAATATGAACCCTGTGTAGTACATGAGTTGTTTTTTCCTAACTTACTGGGACTAATTAGCTTTTTTGTTGCTGTGATAAATACCTGACACAACTTAACCACTTACAGTCCAATTATTTATAGGATAAGCAAAAGTTGCATATGTTTTTCATTAATTTTTGTAAGATAATGTAATGGGAAATATAAAACAACAATTTTATCCAATTTATTCAACAATTTTCTACATGTTAGATCTTAAAATACTCAATATACAATGCAACATTACAATCTGGACAGCAGTCCAGTCTCTGTCTTAGCTTTTTTTCCATTATTGTTTTTTTTGAACAACACACTTTATACTGTCATGCTGGCCTTTCTTTTTTTCTGAGGGTGGTAAAATGTCAATAAAATGCCTACTCACTAAATGTAATGGTGAAGATGTCACTGATGGACATCCTGGTTGGCATTTTGCTATCCTGTATTTTCCAGTTATTTGGTCTATTAGACAACGTAATCTAATTTTAAATGAGTTTTTGAACACTCTATTTTGAATAACAAATTCTATACTGTTTGGTTTAGAAAGTACAAACACATTTTATAATAATATTTTCTTCCTCACTTGTTAGATGTTGGGTTAACTATGTCAACACCATCCACAGAATTATTATAATCACTGAGCACTACTGGAATTTTTAAGTTGGATTCTTCTTTCAAGTTCTATTACTTCTATATTATGAATAGTTGCCAGTAAGGTATCATTTTGTCTTTCCATTTAGTAACAGAGACTTTTCCTTTATTCCCTTTCTCAGTTTTTTATATTTCCAGATCTTTTGGTACTTCCCTCACATTCAGTCTGTTTCACAGACATGTCCATTTTGTATCACTGAATTCTGGAGAAGCATAAAATTTTCATCAAATGTAATTACAATAAGAGTTTTTATAGACTGTAGCACAAAATTATGTTATTTTTCACAAATACACAAATTAGTAAAAGAAAATAACCAGAACTTATTAGATTTCACTAGAAACAAACATCAAGGCGAATAAATGTTTAAATACAAAAGTATGCAAAAAACAGTTGATATAAAACAAACAGATACACAAGTGTATCTCATGGAAACAAGAATCAACTGGGTGAAATAATGCCTGCCCTGGTGACACTCTGCATAGTCAGTGTATAAACAATGTGCTGCCTGAGTGACACTCCATGTAAAGTATTAAGTGGTTAAAGGAGAAAAGGTTTAATTGATTGATGGTTTCAGAGGATTCAGTCCATGATCAGCTGACCCCAAGGCAGAAACATCATAGTGGAAAAGCACAGTGGAGAAAAGCTGCTTAGTTCATGGTGGCTGCACAGTAGAGCAGAGTGGCACAGTGCCAAAGAGGAGGCGGCCAGGGACCAGCTACAGACCACAAGAACATACCTCCATGACCTGCCCAGATACAACCGTAAATGTGCTTTCCAAACCCAGTAGGTGGTTTCCAGTCAAACTGTCAATGAAACTGCCCTTCGTTAGCATGACATCCAAACACGCCCCTTAAAAGATACTTAATCTCCACATATATTCAAAGTTATTATCTACCTAGCATGACACAACTATCCCACATACAGCAGAAAATGTACTAAAGGTCTCCCCCAACAGTTCCAGTACTGCTTTAAAATCTAAGTCCCATTCTTCTCTGAGACTCAAGGCAAATTCTTAGCTACAAACCCCTAAAAGTTAAAAACAAAACAAAACAAAGTTACATAGTCCCAATATACAAGGGTACAAGATAAACACTGCCATTTCAAAGGTGAAGAACAGGGAATAGAAAATAATAGGACTAAAGCAAGACTTAAAGCCAGCAGCAAATATTAAGTCCTGGCATGTTTCAGAGGGCTTGGTTGGCCTCACCACTGTGGCCTTGCTGGTTGTAGTCAATATGGCTTCTCTTGGGGATTTGCTTGAAGCCTAAGGCTTTCCTCAGCAGATGTTCCATATTCCTGACATCTCTGAATTCTGGGGTTCTCCACTGCATGTTCAGCTTTATTTTCACAGCATTATGTACCCACCAGTCAGGGGCACATTGCCTGGACTCCCACTTTCCACTGCAATCAGAGTAGAAGTCCTCATGATCCTATAACCCTTGCTTTCTACATGTCTGCAAAGGCAATATTCCCTGAATAATATCAAGGTCTGTCCCAGTTTAAGCAGTAGCCAGGTCCCCTTGTGCTATGGTTACTTCACTCGGGGAGTCAATTCCCTAAGTAGCTTTTCTGGAGTTCTAGGGGCTCCTTTCTCAAATGGAGTTTATACTTTGCACCCTTGAGTCTGGGAAGGACAGGGTCTTTCTGATACCTGAGATGCCTTCAATACATCTTTCTTTCTGTCCCTGTTCAAGGGATGGTTTCTATTTAACAGTTTTAATCTCTTCAACAATCATACCTCCTTTGGTCCTAACTTCACATGTGGATTTTCAGACTAAAATTTAAGTCTTTCAAGTATTTTTGCTCCACTTTTTGCTCCTGATTTTCTATATAAATCTGACTAAACCCAGCCAGCAGTACCTTACCACAGCCTGAATATGAGGCTGACTTGAAATATCCTTCACTAAATCAATTAGTCCACGGCCCTTAAATTCTGTCTTCTGCAAAGTCTCAGGATATGAGCAAAATATAGTCAAGTTCTTTGCCAGAATGTAACACAAATGGACTCTAGTCCAATCCTCAAATGAGTCCTCATCTGAAACCATGTGAACCTGGCCTTTATTGTTTTCATTCCTATCAGCATTCTGGTTAGCCGAAACTAGCATGCTTAGTTCTTGGTGGCTGGAAAACAGAGCAAGGGAAAAGAAAGGAAGGGGACAGGGACCACAAATAGACCTCAAGGTGGCAGCTCTGTGATTTACCCAGACATAATAATAACTGTGTTTTATTAATTTCCTTGGCACCCAAGCCAATCAAGTTGACCATCAAGCATAACTGTCACACTATCACTGTATCCACACATGTCTATACTAAGTAAAAAAATGACATTACTGTTTTAATTTTTATCTTCTTTAGTAATATACTCAGTAGCCTGTGTCTACATACATGTAAATATATTTCTTTTTGCTTTTCAATTTTATTGTGATTTGTCACATGCAGAAAGTTTGAACTTTTGTATAATAAAGATATCAGTTGATTTTTATCTTCATGACTCCATTTGTTTTTTGATATAGAAATACAGTCCCAGCCATATTATTAAATTAATTCATTTACATTTTTTAAGCAATTCTACAAATTAAAGTTTATTGAAATCTGTGATTCATCTTGATTTTATTTAGCAAATGTTATGAGATAATTTGCATAATTTCTCTCCTTTACATATTTTCCAAATTGAATACATATCATACGATAGGTTGAGCATCTGTATTCTAGAAATTCTTTGCATTTCAGATAATGGATACTCAACTTTGTTTCTAGAGGGTGAATTTCTGTATAAAGATCAAGAGCTCAGGACTATGTTAGGTTTGAGGTGTTCACTGGATATAAAATAGAGATTTTAAGATAACTGGATATTATGTATTTTTAAAAATATTTAATAGCAATTCTTAATCATTTCTTTCAGATAAAATATAAATTTTTTCACAATTTGCCACAAATATTTTCAAATTCTAATTACAATGTCTTTTACTCTATTTACTAAAAGGTATATACTATATATAGTGTAAGCAGTGGAAAATGGGTAAATTTTTATGGGAGGTGGCTTTACTATTTACAAAATATATATTAGATTTTTACTCAGAAATAGTTGCTTTACTCTAAATAGTTGTTTAAAAAATTAACGAACACATTCAGAGGCAAAAGATTATAAAAGGAATAGATTATTTTCTGAGATTCTTTCAGTTATTTTTTTAAAGAGCAGAATATATTTATTGAGAGAAAGAAAGCTTCTGTCTGAGAGAGACAGAAAGGGTTCAGAGTGGGTTGCCAAAGACTGTCTTTTCTAGGAACTTCTATAGAGCATAACCACAAAGTGAGGCAGGTCCATGGTGGGGAACAAATGGGAAGTCACAAAGCAGGTGGGCATGAGGTGGCAACTATGATCAACCAATAAGACTAAGTATAATTGCTCAGGTAAAATTGATTAAATTGAGATCCAATATGGAAGTGAGTCAAGTAGTGAGGGGTAACAGGGTCTTTGTCTAAAGGGGTTTGGATTAGGGCTTTTTCTGGCTTCCTCAAAGTGATCAAGTCAAGGTGATACCTATTTGGAATATCAATCTCTAAGGTTTCTGCTTAGGGTGTGACTGCTTTTGTTTTGTCTTTTGTCTTGAGATCTGGTCCACAGCAGAGGTGTTTTGTCTCCTTCAAGGCTGCAAGATATCTAGTCTTCTGTATTGGCTCTTTTCAGGGCCTAGCCCTGTCATTTGTATCTAGTTCAGCTGTCTATAACATTCTCCCCTCTGAAGAAGTACCCTGAGCTGCAGTGGGAGAAAAGGGTGAGGACCAATCTGGCTTCTTCATGCTGAAAGGGATCCCAGTTATTGACTGACACTCAGAAGTACTCCACAGGGGGTGTATCTAAACAGTTATTCAGATTTAACCATGTTGATATATTAGAGAAACTAGCAATCTAGCATAGGAAAAAGGTTTCACAGTGTTAACATTCTGTTAATAGTTTAGATCTGACACTTCTAAAGGTTTGTGTGTTGAAAGCTGGTGGCACTATTGGGAAGTGGTGGGAATTCTAGGAGGTAGGAATAGTACTGGAGGAAGGGGGGGATGTGCCTTTGAAGGGTGTATTTTTTATTCCTGGCACTTTAGTTTTCTCTCTTGCTGATTGCCATGGATTTCCTCTACCACCATGATATCACTGTCTTGCCACAGGTCTAAAAGCAATGGAGCCAGCTGACTATGGACTGAAACCTCTTAGACTCTGCACCAAAATAAATCTTCTCTTCTTCAGTTGATTTTGTCACAGCAACATAAAGCTTATTAACACACGTTCTAAGTAAACTAGATGTAAAACAGGTTTTTCTTCATTCTTAAAAAATTACAAAGCCAAGAATTTCTCAATAGAAAACTAAAATATACACTATAATGAGGAGAAACAAACTGATCCAAGGAATTTACTATTAGATTATCAATATACATTGAAGTTTCATAGAAAAAATGGACAAGTATATATACCTCTGTTGAGTGTTCCATATTCTGTGTGGAAAACACCAATTAGTTTTGTGTATCCTCGATTGACATGAGAATGAACTGCCCTTTTAAATGCATCACCCCACAGAGCTGGACCACCAGGTTTCATGTGAAAAGTTGCCAGTTCATACACTCCTAGAAGAGGGAGTCAAAGAATTATTTTAGAGGAGACATTCAAGCAATTTCTGATCATAGTTGGCTTGTTTCAGTGGAAGACTATAGATAGATTTGGAAAATTGTATTTAGACATACTTATTATCTTTGCACTATTTTTCTTTGCATTTATGTTTAGAAAGTTTTTGCTCATGTTTAAGAGCTAAACTTTACAGATGACAAAAAGGACTGAAAACTGTGTGTGTGTGTGTGTGTGTGTGTGTGTGTGTGTGTGTGTGTGTATACATATATAAGCACTATTATCTGAAGTATTTTTATCTAAAAATTTGTTAATAAAACAGATACCTAAAACTTGTAATTAAATAAGGTTTTTGAACTAAATCTATTCTTTTAAAAAGGAAATGAATAAAATAATTTTCCAGGAACCAGGAGACATAGTTCACTGGTAGAGTACTTGTTTAGCATGTGTGAAGCCCTCGTTCCATCTCTATCACCATAAATAAATAAATGAATAAATCCAGTCTTCTTCAGTTTCATCTACTGTCCAATTTCTACCATTCTTTTTGTATAATTTCTTAAGTTTCCAATTCTATTAGGAAGAATAAAGAACAATGGAACTGAAGTGATACTTCTAAGTTGTAAAGTGCCACCCTGAAGAAATGATCTTATTCCTAAAAATCCAAGTACATACCTGAAATTTATTTTATCTTCTGAATAGATGGATAGGGCCAGGAAAAAGAAACTAGGGGACAAATAGATTTCAGAGGTAAACATGCAAAGCTTATCAAGAATCAGGAATGACAGATAATACAGGAAGAGAACCAACATTGGACACTGAGACACCAATGATTTTACTTAGATATTGCTGAGAGATGAAAGATCTAGGCTGATAAGATCCAATAAGACTTAAAATTCCTTTGTGGTGTAATCTAAAAGTATATTACAAAGTTCATAATAGGGGAGACAAAATAAACTGGGCCGGGCTCAGTGGCATAAGCACCTGTCTGGCAAGCAGGAGGTCATGAGTTCAATCCTTGGTACCAAAACAATAAATAAATAAACCTAAATTAGTTTATGGTTTTTAGATCTGACTTTTATTTAAAATAGGATTGAGGTAATAGTTTAAATCAGCAAGAAATGAAATCAGCAATAAGATAGGTCTTTAAGAATTATTTTCAAACAGAAGCAAGAAAAAAGAATGAAAGTTAAGAGTACAGTAACAGTACTGTGCAATTTTCAATTTTTACTAGACAGACTTTTCTCATACATAAGAATCATTTAGCATCTGTAAAAACTCATTTTGGAAAAATTCTTAGTTTTTATTTTTTAAGAGGTAAACTAGAGCTTCAATGTAATTTTACTCAACAATTACAGTATGCTACTGTAAAAAGCAAAAGGATAATTTTATTTTTTTCTCAGTACTTTTTTTTATTGCTTGAGATGTTTAGTATACTTTATTCATTAAAACTCATGTGTCTGCAAAAGAAGACCTACCTTCTTTTGTAGGCTTTTCTATTTTGCACCATGGGACCAGGTAAGTAATCTCACACTCTTGTTTATCAATGTGAGCCAAATTTGGACCTAGGAATTGTTCTTGCCATTCCTTATCTTTGGCCAAAGCTTTACGGACTGCAGTTCGATGAGCAAAATTATCTATGGGAGAATTAAGTAAAAATAAACAAACAAAAAAGCCTTAAAATCCTCTGCATTTGGGGGGAATTTTGGTTTTCATCCACAACACATAAGAACACTGTGTTACATCTCTGCAGATACCAGCGTGAAGAATGCTGACATATGCCCTAAGCTGCTCATGATCTAAGGAGAACAGAGATACAAACAATTATTATAGCCTCTTAGAATGAGCTTCACAGATAGCTGTGTGAATTATATAGGTTACTGTACCTTTTTGGTCTCAGTTTCTCATTGTGAAATGAAGATAGTATCACATAGGCCTCCAGGGTTGCTGCCAGGATCAAGTGAATAATACATGTGAAGTGCTTGGAAGAGTGTTAGACACTAGTTAATACTATATGTGGACTGTTCTTATTAAATTGGAGCAGTTAATTGATAACACCAGTTTATAGAAAGACTATTTTACTTTGGTTGTGGTAGTGGTAGGTGGTCAAGGTATGTCTTGAATAAATATTAACATAAATAAAAACATATTTGGTAAACTGCTTCTTTTAAAACATAACTTTTAAAGAAATCATGGTGATTCTCTTACCCATTGTCAATTTACCAACATAAGGATTTAACGTTTTAGAATACCATGATAGTGAAAATTTTGTATAATTTGTGTTGGGAGGAAAGCATACTCAAATAAGTAATATCAAGAATTTACTGTATTTCCTAATGGATATGATTCAACTCAAAAAGAAAAAAGTATAAGTTGTGTCTTAATGGAGCTTGTTCTATTATAAGAGGGAAAAACCCTAAAACGTGCCCATGTTAGGAATAGACAGGGCCAACATTTTTAAAAAATGAAGTATTTTATGAATATTACTCTGGACTGATGACCAAACACTAAATAAAATAAAGTGCTGATATGGACTACTAAGGTTGATCACTGGAGTAAAAAATATCCTGCAGATTCCTGTAGTTCGTTTTCTTCCTCCAGGAGTAGGTCAGCTTCAATACACAAAGAACTCTCTCTTTACCTCCAAAGAGTAGTATCACAGTGAATTCACTGCAACTCCAGTGCATAGAACCGAAACAAAAGTGGTCTCTAAAAATAACTACAAAGCCCTAGAGTTGAATGAGGCTTTAAAATTGATAGCCCTTCTCAACTTTAGAGCCCTTAAATGTCTAAGATGCTGTTATCTAGCCCAAGCTTTGTTAATAAGAAACGATATTTTACTTTGTAATTTTAACCCATTTGGGCTTTCATGAGCACTATTTTAAATTTTTCATAAATTATCTTTCCAACGAACAATTCTAAAGTTTTTTGAGACTTACTAGTTCATAATTATGTAATTTGATACATGAGAATTCACATTTCCCCATTTATGATAATTTAACACTTTAGAAGTTTTAGATGTGGATCACTGGAAAGAGTAAGTACTGAACTTTTGTTTTTTAGTACTGTATTTTTTAAAAGTTTTGTTTACTCTACATATATCTACAGTAATATAAATGTAAAAGTAAGTCTCATGTGTCTGTAACAAAATGAGTATTTCAATTGGACACTTAAATCTGAATCACTCATACCGTATTTCCAAATATGAAATACTTTGTTAATTCTGCCTCCAAATTCTACACTCCAAAATCCAACCAATTCAGAGTGAGCTGTCCGAAGATGAACATTTTTCTTAAAATTTTCCAGGAACTCATTCATTTTTGAGGGCTTAAAATAACAGGTACGAAATTCATAGAATGTTCCATCCTGTTGTCGGGGCCCTGTAGCAAAAGATGAGCACACCTGAAGAAAGATAAGGCAAATTTAAATACTGTGGGGAAGATGGGGCTTACTGTTCTGTTACAACATGATCCGAGTTTGGAGACAAGAGGCATTTAGCAAAGTCATAATCTTATTTTTATCCTGTCAGCTCTCTGCACAATTGTGTTTATGTAGGGCTATCAATGAAGGTAACTATTTTCAAACCTGCTGATCGCACAATTACTGTTTCCTAGCATGTGGTTCACCTTTACCGTTTTTCACGAGAATCTGCTCAAAAGGAGGCACTCTATCCATTCCTTTAAAATCAGGATTCAAATACATTTTCTAAGTTTTCCTTATTAGGCAATATTTCATCTTTACTCAATAATATACAGGAGCAGCCGGGCGTGGCGGCTCATGCCTATAATCCCAGCAGGAGGATCATTGTGTGTTCGAGACCAGCCTAGGCTACAAAGTGAGCTCAAGGCCAGCCTGAACTGCACAGCGAGACCCAGTCTCAAAAAGACAAAAAAAAAAAAAAAAAAAAAATCTATCTATCTATCTATATCTATATACACACATACATACATGAGCATTACATATTTAGAACTTGACTATATGCATGTCTTCTGGCTAGTAGAATAAAAATAGGTTCGCAAGAAGAAAATTCTTGCTTCGTTTGTCTTTTTGGTTTTTTTTTTTTATCAGTACCAGGGATCAAACTCACGACTGCCTTCTTGCAAGGCAGGCGCTTATGCCGCTGAGCTAAATCCCCACCACCATGAAGAAAATTCTTAAGTTCTTAAAAAACGGAAATTGGTATTCAGGTTATAGTTCTTCCTACAGTCAAAACACTTAATCACTGGTTAAAAATTGCACTGGAATGAAGGTAAATAACACATCAGGATGCTACATACTCTCTCTGCTTTGTAGTATAATTGTAGATTCTACAAATGCTGAAAAAAAATTTAGAATAAGAATTATGTGAATCATTATTAATTTCTAATGAGAGATGCCATATGAAGGGCTTAATGCATCTAATTGTATTAAGTTCATAGAAAATTCTTTAAGAACCATTAACTTTTTTGTTAACTAACTCATTGTGTAAATTTCTAATTCCTGTTCTGAGTTTGAACTAACTTTGATGGGGAAAAACACCTTGCTGGAAACTAGCCTTTGTGTGACTACTTGCATAAGCAAATGTAGGTATGCACAACAAACTCATATGGCATTCCAGCTTACAAATTCATCTTTACATTAGTTAGCATGTGCCCATCTTCCTGAAGCTAATTATACTAGAAAATAAATGTAAAGCAGACTTTACCTCTAATACTATGGAAAAATTAAAGTTTATATTGATCATTTTGGTATATCTAGACAAAAAGCAATAGGCTTTTTCTTATGACACATTTCTTTTAAAAACATTATACGGTGTTCAACTATACCTAAGTCTTACTGTTCAAATGACTAAGCTAGCCATCAAAACAAGTACGGCTGCTCCTGTGTTTGGTGGACATTGTTTCTGTCCTTTTTAACCAAACTCTAGTGGAACGTTAGTGTAACAAACAACTGCCTAGATAGTCTAAAAATATTTTAAATAAAATATATCAGAAAATAGGCCAATGAGATATCTGTTCCAATCCTTTTAGGTTGATTCCTGGGCCTTGTATTTGGAGGATGAAAAAGTTGTCCAAAGACACTTATTCTCAGGAAAAACAAACAGACAAACAAACAAAACATAAGGGAACCTGAGGATTGAGAAGGAAGTGTGGCAGGGTGAAATAATTTTGAGATTTGGGGTGCACAGCTGGCCAGAAATACTGAGGCAGAAATCCTCCGTGGTTTGATGTTGCCTGACCTCCAAAAAGTACTCATTCTCGCCAGCAATAACAACTCACTGATAAGAGAACATCAGTAAAAATGTGAAAACTCAGAAGTTCAGAAAAAAGTTCTAAGGAAATCATTCTTGATCCTGCCCATTCAGAGTGATAATCAGGACAAGGCCCCACAGTCTGCGCGCGCCCATTATTAGGGTCTCCTGCAGTCAGGTCTGCTCTAGGTTAGCCCCAAGAAAGGAGGAGAAGCCTGAACACCGAAAGGAACAGTAATTTCAGGGTGACACTGATTGAGTAAGCCAAAGCCCGAGAGTTAAGGCGGGACCACAGGGCTCGTTTTGGGGGCGACCTCTGCCGCGGGGAAGTAAGGGGCGCGTGGGCCTGGTCTCCCCTTCCAGATGCTCCATAAAATGCTGCGCTGCGCCTTTGGCGCAGAAGGGGAGTCAGATTCGGTCGCCTTCACAAGATCCAAATGGTCGGTGGGAAGCGCGGCCGCGCTGCACCCGGAGACTACGTGACGGACGCTCCGGGACTGGCAGCCGCGATGGTGCCGCCACCTAAACGCCAGAGCTGTCGCCCCGCCACCACGGAAGGGCCCCGGCCCAGCGCGCCGGGGAGGCGACCCTGCCAGCGGGGTTTCTTTCCTAGCAGCCCCGACCCTCACGCGCGTCCCCGCCCCATAGCCCCGGCTTCGCCTCGGAACCCGGACAGCGGAACTGAGCCGAGGGCCCGGGCGAGAGCCGGCGGGGAGGACGCGCGCGGCCCCGCCTCCATCCCCGCGGTTGCTCGGGGGCGTCCCCGCGGCCCGTACCTGAGCCGCGCGCGCCTGCGGGGTCAGCGCCCGGACCAGGCCGCTCCGCAAGGCGAGCATGGCGCGCATCCGAGCGCGGAGGCGGCTTCTTCCGGGGAGAGGCTCCGCTCTCCACTTCCAGACCCCGGCTGCTCCAAGAAGGGGCAGTGGGCGTGTCCGGGGGCGGGGCTTGGAGGGTCGGCCCCGCCCTCCGGGAGGCTGGGTCTGAGCCCTGGCCCTGTGGTCCCTTTGGTCTCCGTCCTCAAACGCTGTGGCCCCTACTCTGCAGGTTTGTTAGCTGCACTGAGGCTGATAGTTTTTCCCACCCTCAGGGCCACCTCTTGGTCCGCCCGGGTGCGGCTCGTGGCACTCCGGTGCTCCAGGGGGAGTGTGCGGGAAGCAGGGGTGTGGGGGTGGCGGGGCTGGTGCTTTGCATTGGAAGTCATGGGGTTGAAGCCAGCTAGTTCTCTGTAAGATGTAAAACAGCAGATCCCTGATGCAGTCCTTATGGGATTGTTCGCAGAATGATTTCATTTTTCTTAAATCGATTTTTCTAATATATGGCTCTGTTTTCCTGAGGCTTATTTGTCATGTATTGTGACTTTTCAGTCATAGTATCTATTAATTTGTAGGATGTGGATTCAGATCTCATGACACTGCCAAAATAAACTTCTCTTTCTGAATCTTTTAATTTAAATAATTGACCCTTAGTTTATGTCAATCTGTACTATATTGTTTGCGTTATTCTTGCTAGTAGTTGAGTTAATGAACACAAATTGTGACCATGGAATTCTTACAGACTGATTGCCTGTGGCTGTACTGGTTTAGCTTTGTGAAAGGACTTTTGAATCATTTGTTCAGGTAAAAGCTTTTCAAATGAGTAATTCTGGAGGAAATGCCTTAGTTTTTTTCAGAAGAGACGGATCCATTTCTAACCAAACAAGACTGAATAAGGTTATTGCTTGTGTCGTCTGGTCTATAAGATTAAGTATTTTCTCTCAGACACTTTTCATTTTTGAGTTAACGATTCATTTAGTCAGTCAATCTATGATTATTAAATTTCTTCTGTGCTCCATGCACTTTCCCAGAAACTCCTTGAATATAGAGGTGAACACAAAGTATATTCCTTTCCTCTTGGAGGTTACAGTAGTCGGTGCAAAGCATACAACCTGAGAGAAACACTGTCAACCCTCTGTATCTTCAAGTCCAGTCTCCACACGTTCAAACAACTATGGAAGGAAAATATTGGGGAGAAAATTGTGTACACTGAAGATGTGTAGATTCTTTTTTTTTGTTATTCTCTTAATACAGTACGGTATAACAGCTGTGTATATAGCATCTGTATATTGGGTATCATGAATATCTAGAGATGATTTAAAATATAAGAAGGGTGAGAATGTGTTATGTGACCACTATGGCGTTTTATGTAAGGGACTTGAGCATTGTGATTTTGATATTTTTACTGCATTCTGGACCCAGTCCCGTGCAGACACTGAAGAATAGCTGTCAGACATGAATACCCAGGATGAAGAAAACTACAGTGGACTGTGAAGAATATAAAGTGCGAGAGGAAAACTATTTTTCAATACTCATTTCTCTCTCTCTCTCTCTCTCTCTCTCTCTCTCTCTCTCTCTCTCTCTCTCTCTCTCTCTCTCTTCTCTCTGGTGAATATTAGCATGGTGTAGCCGTGTAAGGCAATCCTGGGCAGTGGGAAATGCCAGTGTGTTAATGACTTGTAAATGATCTAAAGAAATGGAGGCTATTCTAGTCCTTGTTTCTTTCTTACTACTTGCTTGAATGAGGCTGGAATGACTTGCAGTCTTGAACTATGAGATAAAAAACATACGTTGAAAGATTGTATTACTTCTTGAAAGAAGCAATTGGTTAGCTGACACAGCAGGAGGAGCCCTGGACTATCCTTCTTTGTATTCCTTTTCCACAACAAATAATCTGTTACACTGTAATAAACCCATAATCTCAGTCAGTCATAGGGTCATTGTTTTTTCCCTCTTATTTGTTAAACTGCGTTGTTTACTACTTAGCACTTATTAATCACCAGATTCTTTGCCAAAGATGTACAGTTTTTCTCCATGGGAATAATCAGGTTATCAGTTTCACCTTCTAAAAAGTTACCCTTCCTGATGCTAGTCTTGCTCTAGTGTGGGCTAATTCTGTAAAGTGGCAGGGCAGTAATTCTTGTATTTCCCTTCATTGTTATCCTGGGGAATCTCATCTGGCTTGGATTGAACATTTTATTTCCACGACCCTGCATTTTTTTCAACTTCTAATTTTAGGAAGAGGAATGTGGGAGTTAAATTTTTGAGACTAAAAAAAAAGCGCCTTTGTTTTTCCAGTCCTCTTATTTATAGTTCAGATGGACATAAAATTCTACATTGGAGACTTTATCTTTTGAAGACAGTGCTCCATTGTATTATGTATAGCTTCTTGTGACAAATTTTTACCTGCATAATTCTTTTTTTAAAAAATCAAATCAGAAAAAAGGGTAGAAGTAATGCAGAATTTAAAAAGTAACAGTAAGAAATCAACACTAATTAATATATTACATGTCGTTATCTTAGAAGTAGTTGTTCAATTATAAGATCAAAGCATAAAGAATGAACAATCAAACAATGACAGCACAAACTATCCTTTTTGATGAACTAACAGAATCAGTAGTATAGTTATCTATCTTGTACACTTATACATACAGTTATATATGTATACTTACAAGTTCTTTCCTTCTGAGCACTTTCTTTCCCTTTCATTATTATAATATCTATTGTACATTTTAGCTCATTACTTTCAGTTATTTTATTATTTATTTTTTACACTAGAGAGACTATATGAAATTTACAAATGTCAATCTCATTTATTTCACTTATGAATATAGTCTCTAGTTCCCTCCATTTACCTATAAAAGATTCAAGACCATCCTTTTTATAGCCAAGTAATATTCTGTTGTATAAAAATACCACATCTTTTTCATCCATTCCGTGGTTGATGGGTATTTTGGTTGTTTCCAAGATTTAGCTATTACCAATTGTATTGGTATAAACGTGGATGCACATATATTGCTTTTGTATGTAATGTGTTTCTAAGTTTTTTTTTTTTTTTTTGTACCAGGGGTTGAATTCATGACTATGTGCTTGTCAGGCAGGCGCTTATGCTACTTTGCTAAAATCCTGACCCTTGAAAAGCTTTTGTATTTTTCTTTTTATCCATCATATTCTTAAATTTATAATAATGACTTGGGGCAGGTCTTTTTTCATCCACATTTGCTTGCTCAATGGATCATCTTGATCTGGAATATTTTCCTTTTGGTGTCGGAGACTAAATCCACAGCCCTATATGTACTGGGTAAGTACCTTTGAGCTACATTCCTAGCTCCTGGAAGTCTTAAATCCTGAGACATTTATTTTATTTTGTAGGTATTTTTCTCTCCTTACCACTCTCTATAGCTTCTGTTACTCAAACATTAGTACTTTACTTGCTCTTGTCATTTTCTTTTTCCTCTTTAAAAAATTAAAAATTTTTATACATTTTTGGTTGGAGAGTGTCTCAGTTTTATCTTCTAGCTTGTTTATGAAAATGTTAAACTTTTAACTGTATGTTTTTTATCTTCAAAACTCCCCCTTTACCTTTTTTCCTAGCATGTGTCTTTTTTTCCTCTCTCTCTCTGTCTCTGTCTGTCTCTGTTTCTGTGTCTGTCTCTTTCTCTCTCTCTCTGTGTCTTCAAAAATATTATCCCCTTTTGGGTTAATGGGTCCAATATGACTGTCTCTCTGGGCCATTATGAATGTCTGTGCTCCTGCACAGAAATAGGATATTGCTAACAACTTAGAAGCTGAATACACGTTCCTTTCTGGTCGCATTTCTCTTTGTTACCACATTTTCCTTGAATTTTGAATTACTAACTGCGATTTTCTTTAAAATTCAACTCTGTATATAACTCAATCACATTTGCATATGAATTTGCCTTGCCTAGTTAGATTGTTCTTTAAATGGAACCAGACTACTTTTTATTATTTTGTTACATAGCTCTTTAGACTTTTAAAAATCACCCACATTAATACAGTTGTGATAATTTGTTTTCTTCTCTCTCTTGCATGTTATTCTATTATAAATATATTCAGGTATAAATTTTCCTTAACTTTTTTGGTATACTTGATCATTACAGAAAAGACTGTTAGAATTTCTTGGTAGTTGTTTCCTGTTGTATACTTTTCAAAGAATTTCTCAAAGGTAGGAATTCCTATTTTTTTTAACGTTATAAAACTGTTTTTTGCTCTTTTGAACCTATAAATGTATAGAAATGCATGGAATTACAATGCAGAAGTTTATAATGGAACAAATATAGAAAAATTAAACTAGAATAATGAAAATGTGAAAGCTACTTTTCTGAGAGAGACATGCTTTTCTACTAGAGCACTAAATAACAAAATCTAATGGTAGGTGTAAGAGATATAATCTTGAAATGGTAATGAACATAAATTTAATGCACTTGGAGCAAGTGTTAATAGAATTTGACAGGATCTGTGAAAAGAAGTGCTTAATTTCAGTTAAAACTTCATAACAGTAAAGATGAAATTTTACCTCTCTGTATTACTGTGCCCTTTGAGTTCTATCAGTAGACTTTGCTGGGCATAGTTACTGGATGTTGCAAACCACTTTTCCAGAGGACGTAACACATTGAGAAGCACAATTGCTAGGTCCTAAGTTCTGTGTATATTCAACTTTACTGAATAGTGCTGAAGTGTTTAATAAATTTATACTCTTACTGGTAGTACATAAGGTTTTTTTTTTTTAAATCACTGTTTTGTTACTGGTCACATGGTCTGATAACTGTAAAGAATACATTTTTGTACCTAGTATCACAGAGGTATCAGGCATCAGCTGAGGATGTCAGTTGAAGAGCGGTAGAAATTATGAACGAGGCACGAGTGAGTCTGCTTGATCTGGCGCTGCTCGGTTCTGTCTAAATGGGAAGCTTATGCAGCTGTGTATAGGGAATCAGGAGTGGTGGATCCAGCTGAGCAGGAGGGCAGCAGCTACAGGAAGGTTCCAGATGCCTACATGCCAGAGCTACATCCTTCCGAGAAAGTAGTTTCTTTTTTCAGTGTTATATTGTGAAACCACTAGATGGTGGTATACATCAGGTTTTCACTGAATAGGTATCTTGTTTAGAGTTGCTATAAGCTATAAGTATTTAGAGGGGATTTAATTCTCAAGGATTTGTTTAATTTAGAATTTTTTGCTCATATTTTGGTATGTAGATGTGTGTGTTTGAT